AACAGCACTGTGTCTGTGTGCAGACTTCCAGAGCTACAGTTTGAGCGTCTCTGTAGAATCTTATTGTTTTCTTTATTATTCAAAGTTTAACACCGGTGCTTCTAAACTGACTCAGACTACATCAGGACACCAGGGAAAGCAACAGTCTTTCTGTGGAGGGGCCAATTAGGGGACAGTCTGCACTATCAGAATTGACTATTCATAAAAGAGTTCTCCACAATATAGTGTCAGTGACCTTTGTTCCTGGCCTGTGAGGGACTGATAAAAGAGGTTGTATATCACACTATTTAAAGCAGTCCAGTCAGACTCCGCAGCCTGCAGTGCACTCCCAGATTCTTATCCCTCGCTTACAACAGCCAGACACGCCATTGCTCCGAAGAGCTCTAACAAAGCTTAAGGAAGTGAGAGACTTCCACATGGAAAAGGTAATTAACAGCTTGATGCCCAAGGGACAGAGTAAAGAAGCCAGGGAGGGAGAGATGATGTCTGGAGATATAAGTGAGAGGGGGAGGTTGAGGGAGTGCAACAGCAAACGAATGTACAATATTACTGTTTGAGTCAAAGCAGTGAAGCAATGAGGATAAAACCAAAGTAAAAATAGAAACTAGATACTTTTGGTGTAGTTCTCTTGAATGTCCAGAACAAAAAAAAAATCCCTGGGTGTGTATTCCCAAAATTACATTGGAGAGAAAGGAGATGGTAGTCAAAGACAAATGGATAGATGAAACACGGTGTAAGTATGAAACAGCTAAAGGAAAATAGGAATAAAGTCAAAGTAAAGGAAGGAGAAAAGGGGAGGGAAATAGAGGGTTGATGTTATCAAAGTGAGATGACAGTGTCATCTCAATCGACACAGCTGCCACACAGATTCTATCTCTCCTGAAGAGATTAAAACCAAAGACTTGTATCATCCCCATCAGGCAGACAAAGACAGAGGGGGCGGGAAACTTCCCTCCAAACTGAAGGAGATGGAGTGATAAGACAGTAAGACACATGCCTGGGACTGTCTTATAGAGTCATCATTTGCTGGCCACTTTGCTGACATTTCCTGTGAGCCTGTAAACCATGGCCATGCATTAGTCAGAGGAAGCCGCCCCACTTTGACACCTCTGGCTGACTTATCAATCTGCTTTGACATCCACAGTCATTCTTTAAGTGTAGCCTCCGGCCTCATGCAAAACAGCAATGTGAAGAACCCTTAACTAAAAAGCAAAAAAGCTTCAAAGTACTTTTCAGACCCTTGCTCTTATCTCTGTATTATCTCTTGTTATCACTGGGTTGTGAATGGGGACGTTGCACTTCTCTGCTCAGATAATAAATGTAAACCAAAGCCTCTGGTTAATTTTTTTTTTTGGGGAACTGCAGCCACTCCAGTGTAGTATGTGAGTGTAGAGTGGGTTGGCGAAATGAATCTGCTGTCTACGGGACAGCCACACTATTACCGTGAGTGATTTCAGCTTAAAGCAAGGCTAGCACTTCCGCTCTGTGGTCACGGAGACAGAGGGAGCTGATGAGAAGTCATACGTTATTGTGGTATCGGATGGGAATGACTTTCAAATCAGAGGCATTTTTAATCAGGCTCCTGAGAAATATGGTGCAAGGAATGGGTTTATAAATTGATATTGTGCTGCTGAAGTAAATCACAATGTGAAGAATGAGGGCAGTGGTTAAAAGCACAAGCAGAATAACCAAAAGCTTGCATACATTCGCATGCTGGATCATGGTGCACACGGGCTTTAGCCCAGGCTAGGCTCTGGGGTGAGGTTAATGGCCCTCATAATCAATTTAGTCTTTTCATTTCCCTTCGAATGGCCCATATTTAATGGAGAAACATCTCTAGCAACCATTACAATCTTTGCTCATCAATTCATTCATACAAGTTAGAGATGAGAGTGAGAGAAAAAGAACAGAGAGAGAGAGAAGTTCTTTTTCTGCTCTATAAAATGGCTACAGCTTGATCAACCTTTTCCATTAACAGGAAGGAAAACTTGCCATTCTAAGGCTTGACCCAAGAGATAATCAAAAGTCCC